TTTTATCTCACATAAGACGGGCATCCCTTATAATCCTCAGGGTCAGGCCATGTGGGGCCTGCACATCACAGAATTAAAGCCTATCTTCATAAAACAAAAGAGAGGGACTTTACAGAGTCTCTTCATAATCACCTTTCTCTTGTACTTTATATTTTAAAATTTTTAACTAATGATAGTGATGCTTGATCTGAGGCCTACAGGCATTGGCCCCATTGGTCATCTGACTATGGCTCAGTTATGTGGAAGAATGTCACTACTGGAAAATTGTGCAGCCAGGACCCAGTATGGTTCAGAGGGTCAGTTGTGTCTTTCCACAAGACGCAGATAACCCTGTTTGGGTGCCTGAGCGGCTGATTCACCATATGCAGAGGGACAGTGATTGCAACAGCCAGAAAGATTGTTCAATGGGTCTTCAAGAATCTACCCTTCCTGATGCCTGTGGGTCTGAGTAGCCATATGTGGCCTTTTTTTTTCCTGACCACTAATTATAGTTTGGATCAAGTGGCTATAAATTTACACTTGATCCAATGGACAAGAATTTCACCTTCATCTCAGGCACTGTATTCTGGTTCCATTCTTTTTGTTGTAGCCAATGATACTAATTTTGGAGAAAGTTTCAATTATTCTCAGCAGGTCTGCCATCTGTAACAGCTGTCATGTGCCAGTAGAGAGGAAAGGAGATTTCGAGATCATGGCTGCCAGTGCTGCCTCTGCCACTGAAGCAACAGTTTCTACAATAGCCCTCTCTCAATCTGTAAATACTGCAAGCACAGTGGATCAACTAGCAGGTGATTTGGCTGAAGTCTTAACCACCCAAAACTACTTGATTATCTAGTACAAATTGGCATTTTTAAACTAAATTTACTAACCTCCTATAGGAACACTTGAAGTTTTGTGAGAAGCTCATATGGCTTCTTGTTCTCTTTCTTTCACACATATCTGTGTTAATGCATCATTTTTCTCCAGAAATCCTGTAGTGATCAGTTTTTAAGTTATATACATGCTTGAGCCATGGAGATCATTAACATCAATGAAACCTGAGTGCCAATTGCCAATGCAGAAGTTTTTTTACCAGGACTTCAACTTGTGGGCTGATTACTGGGGTTTGTAGCCCTTGAACTTGGTAATTGCACCCTTCTAATAAGCTTTCAATAAATTTCTATAAAATTACTGTCTCATTTCATTATAAAAATCAGATCATCAAATACTTGACAACTATACCTAGTATGTCCTAGTTTCTTCAAAGGCTGCCTTAAGTTACACCATTCTGTTCTCTCCCTCTATAGTAGACCACTATAATGACTGGGATATAGTAAGTCATTTGAAAGCACATCTAAAGCCATGTCATCTTTTCTTTCTTTTCTTTTCTTTTTTTTTAAAGTGGATTTTATTTATTTATTTATTTTTCTTGTTTTACATATCAATACCAGTATCCCAGTTTCCTCTTCCTCCCTCCCTCTCTCCAACCTTCCCATAGCCATGTCATTTTAATAAAGATAAAAATATAAATATGAAAAGCTGTGTGGTCAAGCCACAAAATAGCTAGTAATACAACATGATAAAGAAGTTTCTCAGGGTTTGTTAAACTAAACAGAAAACAGGGGTTAATGCTTAAATGTAATCAGCATTGGAAAGCAGTAAACCTTTTTTTATCTTGTGCTTGGGTCATCTCTTAGCTCCTATAGCAAAAAGACAGAGAATTCTTCCTGAGGCCTGTGAGCTTTCCTTTCCTTCACAGTAGAAAGTAAATTAAGTGTTATGATGCAGTTGAGAGCTTCCAAAAACCTTCTAGTTCAGTGATTGATAATATAATGGGTTTGATGGCAAAAAGGCTTTCTTAAAATAAATATTGAAATTGGTTATTTTGGCAGGTTATTTTCTCCTATTGTTCTCCATAGAGATTTTGTTTCCCACATTGCCATATGACCACCCATTAATTTCATAACACCAGTAATTTGCTATTGGATTGTTTCTATTTTCAGTTCAGTCCAATGAAGGGGAAAATTCTAATCAATGTTCCATAGATCACAGCATCCTGCCTGCAGGGCCACACAACATTAGCAATTAGGGAAGTTGTCAGGCTAGCTTTCAGTCTTAGGCCTTTAGCAAGATTCTTTTATGGACCATTTCCTTGGGACTACTGCCTGAATAATTTTTTTGTTCTCATGTTTCTTTTACTTAATGTTTCTCTAAACAATGTAAAATACTGGGTTTCTCAATAGGGTATATTATAAAAACAACAGTTGCCACCCAATCATCTTTTGCAAAGTTTAGTCTAGCAAATCACAGATAAAAATGGGCTTGTCCTTTGAAGATGTAGACTCTACTCAGACATCACTTATTTGGAAGTACTGTAAAATAGAAAATGACAGACTACAGGTTGAATGGCAAGAAGTTCTTAGTGAGAAGCTTCTGACATGGCCAGTTTTGAGTGTTGAGGATTTTGACTCCTAAGAGAATATTAAATGATCCTTTCACACAAAATTGACCCAATAAAATTGTCCAGAGGATGGCATTTGGTCTATCAGGAAAATAGTTAGAAATAATTGCTGCATGGTAAAAGGCAAAATCAATGAACAATGAAAGCCACCATATGAAGATGAAATGCTGAGGGTATTCTTAAAATTACCCACTTACTATGAATACAGATGATGAGATCTATGAAAGACAGAATCTATTTTTTTAAAAAAAAAAAAGAGATGGTTCCCTGCTTGAGATCACATAGAGGACTTGGTTGTGACTCCCAGCACTTATATAGCACAACAATTCATAACTCAAGCTTCAGGGGATCAGTCATTCTCTTCTGGCACTTTTGGCTTCCAAGCACATATACAGTGCACTTATTCACATTCAGAAAAACACTTATAAGTTACAAATAAATAATTTTTGAAGGAAATTAAAATAAAGAGAAACATACATATAGATCAATAATTAGATCAAAAATGAAAACTGGAAGGCTGCATTAGCAAAACATTAAAGAGGATCTAGTATTATAGATAAGAATATTGAAGCATAAAATCACATAATTTGATCTTTATATCTCAACATATAATTACATAAACATTTTAAATGACAGACTGGTGAGATGGCTAATCAGGTAAAGGCACTTGTTTCAAACATGATAACCTGAGTTTGATTGGTGAACCAATATTTTAGAAGAAGAGAAGTGACTCCTACAATTCTCATATCTACACACATACCCCTGTACAGACACACACACACACACACACACACACACACACACACACACACACAAACACACACACACGAGACAGAGAGAGAGGGAGAGAGATAGAGACAAAGAATAAATAAACATTAGACATGACATTTTTAAAAAGTAGATGCTTGGTATATATATTTGAAATATATATATATATATATATATATATATATATATATATGTATGTATGTATGTATTACAGGCTAGGTTTAATTTTAGAACAATTAAAATGTAAGAAAATATAATAGATAAAAAGTTTACAAAACTATAGGATGAGCACAGAAGCCTAGATAATTTATTAATTAGGTTTCTAAACAAAACCAAATCAAATTTTAAAAGAAATAAAATACACTAAAAATATTCAAAATAAAAGACCGTTTCCTATTCATGTTCTCATATAATTTTAGTTCCTCGTTGGTAAATATGGTTCTGATAGCCCTTGTGGAAAAAGGTGGTTGGTCACATACAGAAGAAAAAAATCAAAACACAAGAGAGAAGATCAACTACGAGAAAAAAATATGTTCAATGAACCCTTCAAATTCCAAATTAAAGTATCTTCCAATTTTGAAGTATATAATATGGATTCTTTTTATTTATTAATCATTAATGACAATTCATGATGATCAGACCTTCATCTTTTCCAAAAGTGTATCTTCATTGCACTGTTTTTAAGAAAGTTAAAGGGTTTCCCCAGCATGCTCTTGACCCCTTTTCTCATCACTCCTCCTTCTTGACAACTGGAGTCCAGGAGTTCTGCTCAGTGCTTAGCTATGAATACCTGCTTCTGCTTCTATCAGCTACTGAATGAAGGCTCTATGATGGCATTGGAGGTAGTCATCAATCTCATTATAGGGGAAAGATATTTAAGGCAGCTTCTCCACTATTTTTAGATTCTTAGTTCGGGTCATCTTTGTGAATTCCTGTGAATTCCTCTAACGTCACGTTTAAAGTTCCTCAGCAAGATCAGATCAGCCACCAACATTCTGAAGCCAGATATTTTATTCTGGGGAGTTCAATAGATCAGGACATGTCTATAGCATGTCTGACTGTTTTGGGTGCTGGTTCAGCTGGATCCAGATCTGGGAACAAGGAAGGTCTGATGAGACCAGTGCATCCTGATTCAGGGCAAAGCAAGATATTACACTGTCCTCTGGTTATTTCTAGTTAACTGGGGGTTCAGTCAGAGCCACCAGTTCTTTCTCTGACCTGTCTTGAGAGCCTGAAGATGTCTTGGTGAAGACTTGGGCCTAGAATGATCTCAGAGAGGCCTGGCACCTAGGTGTCCCGTGGTGGGGTTTCAACACCTTGGCTGCACAACAGAGCAGAGGAACCATGAGGATGTCATATCTCACACAGTGTAGGACATCAAGTAATCCAGGCTGAGATGAAGTCAGGAAGGTCCAGCCTAACTGAATGGAGGGAATCTAACACCAGAAATCTCCAGCCTGTGTGGGGAGGATATTGAAAAAAAAAAAAAAAAAAAGGCATTCTGATGGTTAAGAAATTTCTTTGATTAAACTGGTGAACTTCTGAATGCCCCCAATTGTGGTTATGGTTGTCTTGTGTCTTTCATCTGTCTTGTCTTGTGCTTTATCTGTCTTTTTGTGTTATGATTTGGGGCAACTGAAAAGGGCAAGTATATGGGTACCAAGGCTGATACGGGATAGTCCTTTGACTTGTGTTCTGAAAATTTTAACAAACTGTATCCTCCTCCAGTTAAGACAGATTTTGGCTGTCCTGTCACCAAACGCTGCACTGCTCTTGGAGAAGTCAGTCCAGAATGGTTGAACGTTTTAGCATGGAGGTTGGTGGGTCAGTGCAGAGAAGACAGAGTGGACAGCTTGAAGCCTGGACGAAGGCTCAATGGACAGCCCTAGAATCCCGTGTGAGACCCCATAAGCCATCTCTTTGCAACAGCACAATGTCTAGCTATGAGGACCTTTCAATGTGTGGCTGGAATGCCAGCTCCAGCACCATGCTGTATAACTGATTACCAGGGCCCCCCATGGGGTCACCTAGACCATCTGCCGCACTAGAAACAGAAGATTCCATTGCCTTCCTTTTTCTGTACAATGCAGGCAGGATTTATAAAGCCTGATTGGCAGAAGGTGTGTGGATATCAATGAAGATGATTTAATTGCAAACATTGGTTTCTACAGCAGTAAGTACCCCACAGGCAGCTAAAGCGATCCTTGCAATAGCCTCACTGCCCAATGAGTTGAAGGCTGAAAGCATGATCGAGTCCTGCCAGACTCTTGCCACCCTTCAGAATTACAATGCCAAAGGAGGTAAGGAACGATTCAGTGAATACCACCAGGCTCTTATAGGAGAAAAAAAAATTTCCAGCTGTTGTAGATAGGGGAATGTGTCTGTGCTTTTGGTGTGCCCGTAAGTTTTGCAGCAAATGTGGTGAGCAGACAGAAATGGGTCAGGTTCAGTTGAATGTATGACTGATAGCATGTCTTGTTTCTCACTGACCTCCATTGAGTATTTCTGTTGCTTTGTTTTGGTCTGCTGATGCCATTGACCATTGCTATCATGGCTGCTTTGATGGCCAGGTCTCAGAAATTATCTCTGATCTTTCTAGTTACTAAGTTTATTTTTGCAGGGATTCAGATATTTTCTGGGTGGAGATAATATTAAAGTTATCTTTTGCTGTTTGACTTTATTGAAAAGCTGGCTCTGGGTTATGGTTCTCCCTTTCTGGACCCAGGTTTGCTTTTAAACTATTCTCTGTTTGCTGGGTCAGGACAGCCACCTGACTCACTTATAAATGAAGTGGTTTTGGAACATAGTTTTTGAATGTGAATGTGCAAATCTGAAAAGAGAACAGTTAACTATGAAGAAAGTTATTACTTTCTGAAACCTATTTGCACAAAACCATGAGGCACCCAATTTCATTAAAAAAAAAAAAGTGAAGTATTTAAAGACACAGATTAACATAGATCCATCGATAATAGGTGGTTTCACTTTCTCCAAAAGAAAGGTCACCAGAAAAAAAGAAATTCAACCAGGCAGCACATGAAAGCTTTTCTGCTACATCCTGAACACAAAACAAATCTTTACAAACAAAATTAGGTTGAAATAGCTCCTTGTATTCTGTCTAGCCACAGTGAGATAAAACTTGAATAGCAACCAAATATCACACAAAATCTTGATCACCTCTACCGATTAGATAAATGAAAATAAAAAGTAAAAACTTTGAGATTTCATCTTACCCCAACAAGAAAGGCAAAAAACAACCAAATACAAATTCTGGATGGGTTACAGAGAAAAGGAAATACTCATTCACTATACCTATGATTGTAAATGGTCCAGTCTCTATGGTAATTAGTGTGAAGAATTCCCAAAAAGCTAAGAATAAACTTAAAATGTGGCCCAGTCATACCATTCCTTACATATGCCAAAAATACTTGACATCCTACATTGTATCTTCTTGCTCTGCCAGGTTCCTTACCTCTCGACTCACAATAACAAGCAAATGGAAACATCATAAATATAATGAAAATATGGTATGTAGACACTATGAAATAATATTCAGCTATAAAGACAAAATGAAATAATGGATATTGCAGGTAAATGGATGAAACTAGAAAATGCATATTGAGTCCAGAAATCCACATCAGGAAAGAGAAACATCATATGTTCTGTATAACTGGAGGATCCCAGCTCTAAAGCTTCAGTATCAGTACATAGCCCAAAGTAACTGCAGAAATAAGGGAAATAAAGTAGTGCCATTGAAGTAATAAGAAGCAGGAGTGTAATAGAGAGGGAAATAGCAGGGTAAATGTGATCTGATTGGGTATGGCAAGAAAGAGAGCTGTAATTAGTTAGCGAAAAATGTCATAAATACAGAAGAAAGAGGATAAAATAACAATAAGTGTGTCTGGAAAAGACCTATGGAGCCATAATATTAACCTAAAAATCCATCCATCCATCCATCCATACATACATACATACATATATATGGTGAGTGTGTGTGTGTGTGTGTGTGTGTGTGTGTGTGTGTGTGTGTGTGTGCTTAAAAATACATATATGGTTTATGGGAAATTTTCTCATCTCCCTACAGAGACAAAGACTCATCTAACAAGAATACAAACAATGGGCAGAAGAAGCTCTCTTTTGAATTCTTGTTCATGGTGGCAAAAGGCTCAAAACACTTTGCAAACTTTTGCCACTATTCTTAGTTTCCCCTCAGTGGTGTTAGGGTCCTGGAGAAGTCCCACAAAAGACCACCATCTACATATGCAATCAGCAAGAGTTTGTATCATCCCAGAATGCTGGGTCTGTCCATCCCACACAAAGGCAAAATGACAACAAACCCTAGAGAAGCTCACAGGTTCCCTTTAAGCACAACTAAGGGAAGGGTCTGAAGTAGTTAGATCATCTTATGTATGATTGGCTTAAGCAAGCAGCAGTCATATTAGTATGTTTTAATTGGCTAGGGCTATCAAGGACTGGTTAAAATTACAGCTTTTCCATTTTGGGGAAGTCCTGGACAAGTTCCAGGCTTTGTCCTTATTTTGTTATCTGTTGACTGTGGCTACCACGCTTCTAATCCTTTGTTCCTGGCTCCCTCAAAAACTGTGTACTCAGTTCCAGGAAATTGAAATTCAAGTCTAATCATTGAGAGAGGATTGAACAGCCTGTCATTGCATTTGCTAGTTGCTCTCAGAAGGTAAGGATCCACTGTTGAAGACACAGAATACTTCAGATGTAGTAGGATCCAGAGTTCTATATGTTGAAACTTATTTAAACCTTTACTGGGGCAGCTTTCATGGTACCATAAAATGCCATGGAAGTTATCAAAGAAGGGAAACAAGGAACATTCTATTGAACTATGACATCTATGAACTACAACAATGGACCACCATGGCATGATAACCCTAAGGGTGCACACATAACTTGGTAACCAAAAGTTCTTCACATGGACTTAAGATGCACTCAACAAGAGAGATACCATGACTATACTGGAAAGTTAGCAAATTCGCCTGATCTACTGAAGTCATGGTGTTGGTATCCTGGCATTATGTTGGCCCAGTGCCCTGACAACTGGCAGGATACAGACACTGACATTCTGATAGATACTTAGACAGCTTAAAAGGCCCTGTGTTACATGGATGTGTCATGGGATGTGTGGCTGCCTAAGGACTCTGTAAACATGTGCAAGCTTCTCTTTTTAAGAGAACACCTCACACCTGTTTACCCCTTCTTCTTCCTCCTCTCCTCTTCCCCTTTGTCTCCCATTTCTACCTCTGTACCTACCCTTCTCTTTGTTCTCTTTCCCCGATAAACTCCACGTGAGTTTGTTGAGTCTTGTGGTTCAAGTTTAATGGCCTGCAGGTGCAAATGAAGAAAAATGACAACACATATATCTTGAAGAACATAAAAATCACTATTTTTCTAAAATAGTAAAGTATCTAAGTATATTCTAAAAATTTGTCCTAATATTCACAGAGAAATATAGTTCCCATGCCTAATCAAGGAAATTCCTCTTTGCAACAGACAAAACAATACAGAAAAAAAAATCAACTAAGTAAAATTCAAATCTGTAGAGCCCAGCACCAACTGACAAATCTATAAAACTACTCTGATACCCAGTACAGGTGGCATTGTAGAGGAGGGGTAGGAAAGATTTGTAAGATCCAGAGGACCAGGGAATTTGTTTTGAGATTGTAGGTCCTAGTAATGTCAGAAGTTACACCACTAGTTACCAGCATGACTCTCTAATCATGATGTGAAGAAGGATGACACCAATAGGCTTTCACGAGTGGACAAGGGAAAGACCACAAAGCTTACGCCCTACAAAGAAAACTTCCACTTGAAAGAATGATGAGAGAGAGAAAAAAATAGTCTTATCCAGGAAAGTGTGCAATTAGTTATCCAACACCAAGTCATGATACCTAAAATATTCATACAAGTAACATTATACAGACTCAGCAGGTTATATCTAGAGCTATAAATGTATACACACATATTTAGGAATATATCTATACATATATACATAACAACAATTGATGTAAAAAGAGGTCATGAATTTGAAATATCAAGAAAAAGTATATGGGATGATTTGGAGGTGGGAAAGGGAAGGTAGAAATGATGTAATATTTGTAACTTCAAAAGGTAAAATAAATAATTACCCCCAAAAAGAATGCTTGCTGCTTTTCAAAAGGCTTTAATTTGGTTCCAAACACTCAAACTGGAAATTCATTGTCATAGGTCCATAGCTGGAAGAGAAAGACAAGAAATCTCTGTTTGGATCCTGCAGATGAACAAGATGCATTTATATTGTGAGATAAGACATCAACACTTGTGGGCAAGTACAGGTTATTGTGGTTTTAAACTGAGTGTCTCACAAAATCTCATGTTTTGTGTCCTGTTGCCAGCTTCTGGGTTTTTCAAAATGATCAAATACTATGGGACCTAGCCTAATCATTGGATACTTTGATATGTTCATAACAGAATGACATTATTTAGAGGAAAGACAGAGGGAAAGGGGGTCACTGGTGTGTACTCCTAGAAAGATAGGTCTTACTATTTATCCTTTCCTATTTTCTCTAAGTACCATGAGGTGATCAATCAGCTTCTGCTACACAATCCCATTGTTGTAATTTGTGTCTCTTCTTAAAACCAAAGAAATATGTCCAGTTTATGTTGGACTGAAACTTTGGAAAACTTGGGTCAACATAAATCTTTCCACTTTCAAACCATTTCTCTCAAGTTATTTTTCACAGTGAAAGAAAACCAGAGTAACCCAAATTGTTAAACTTTCTTTGCTAGATTCCCATTGTCATGCTATAGCTTCATACTATAACCTGGTATATCACATCCCTCCTGCATTTATATCTTTCTACATAATGTGGAATTCATTAAGTGGGGCATTCTGATATCCTCTAGGTAGCTAAAAGAATTAAATGACAGTCTCCACAATATATTTGGCATATATTCAGACTATTTTACTCTCTTTGGATATGATGATGGGAAAACATTTTGAGTTCATGAGTATAGTAATTGGAATTGAGTTAGCCTCAATTTATCAAAGCTCAGAAATAGATCTTCAAAAGTACTAATAACTATGGTTTATTGAATGTTTGATACATTTCTATTTATGTCATTCATTTTTCTGTATTTTATTCATCAATAATATGGTAATAAAATAATATCAATTTCATAACTTTGTTGGGAAAGTGATTTCTTAATGAAAGAAATATAGCAGATCACTACATACAATAAATACTGGTTATTAGTAGTTGTTGATATGGTAATTAACTTTCTTGAGTATCTAATT